AGAGTGATACACTAATAAAGGCTTAGCTTTGCGATCACCACTAGCATTGGCACACATCAACAAAGTAAGCCTGTTTCATAGGGTTATGTCCTGGAGTGCCTTTTCCTCCTGAGTAATGTAGGGCCTGCTTGGCATTTTCTTCCCGAACAGGGCCCGTTTCATCACAAAAACACTTGTTCAGGTTCCAGTCCTTCAGTTTCTATGTACTCCTTGAATTCCTGCACATATTTTTCAGCCGCTTTGTGGTCCGAACTGGCGCCTCACCATGGGCCCTATCACACTATGGATGCCACTAACCCTTTTTAAATCTCTCAAACCAACCTTGCTGGCCTTAAATTCACTCACATCATCACTAGTTGCAGGGATTTTTTAATTAAATCGTCATGCAACTTCCTAGCCTTTTCACATATGATCGCTTGAGAGACGCTATCTCCTGCTAGCTGTTTTTCATTTATCCACACCAATAAAGAGTCTCTCAACATCTTTCCATCACTTGCGATCTTTGTTTCGAAAACACAGTTAAACCTTTGGCAACAACAGCTTCCTTGATTGCCGTTTTCTTGTCCACAATAGAAGCGATGGTTGATTTGGGTTTCTTGTACAACCTGACCAGGTCGGTGATACGTACTCCACTTTCATACTTATCAATGATCTCTTTCTTCATTTCAATGGGTATTCTTACCCTTTGAGGTGTAGGGTTGGCACTAGAAGCTTTCTTGGGGCCCATGGTCACTTATTTTCCACAAACAGCACCGAAAACACTGTAATAATACGAAATATTCCGAGTGTATGCTTGAATGTTACCGCGGAGGCTGGCTGGTAAACAATGGGACGGGCGGCACATGTGAGGCTGGCTGAGGGCGCAGATTGGACGCGTCTCGGACGAAGTTCGCTGAGCGGGTTTTTGTCCACTATGCGGGGCAAAATTTTAGCGAACAAAGCGTTCGCTATGCGGATTGTTCGCTATGCAAGGCGTTCGCTATGCGGGGGTCCACTGTACTTGGGAGTTGACGTGTCGGCGGATGGATTTATGAAGGATGAAGGATGAGGTTAATCAGAATTGATGAGGGAAAAAAAGGTGAGTGGTGCATTGAGGTATATGTGGAGTCAAAAAACGTTATCTATGGAGGCAAAGAAGGGAATGTATGAAAGTATAGTAGTACCAACACTCTTATATGGATGTGAAGCTTGGGTGGTAAATGCAGCAGCGAGGAGATGGTTGGAGGCAGTGGAGATGTCCTGTCTAAGGGCAATGTGTGGTGTAAATATTATGCAGAAAATTTGGAGTGTGGAAATTAAGAAAAGGTGTGGAGTTAATAAAAGCATTAGTCAGAGGGCAGAAGAGGGGTTTTTTGAGGTGGTTTGGTCATTTAGAGAGAATGGATCAAAGTTTGAATGACATGGAAAGCATATAAATTCTATAGGGGAAGGAAGGCGGGGTAGGGGTCATCCTCGAAAGGGTTGGAGAGAGGGGGTAAAGGAGGTTTTGTGGGCGAGGGGTTTGGACTTCGAGCAAGCATGCGTGAGCGTGTTAGGAGTGAATGGAGACGAATGGTACTTGGGACCTGACGATCTGTTGGAGTGTGAGCAGGGTAATATTTAGTGAAGGGATTCAGGGAAACCGGTTTTTTTTTTCATATAGTCAGACTTGAGTCCTGGAAATGGGAATACAATGCCTGCACTTTAAAGGAGGGGTTTGGGATATTGGCAGTTTGGGGGATATGTTTGTGTATCTTTATACATATATGCTTCTAAACTGTTGTATTCTGAGCACCTCTGCAAAAACAGTGATAATGTGTGAGTGTGGTGAAAGTGTTGAATGATGATGAAAGTATTTTCTTTTTGGGAATTTTCTTTTTTTTTTTTGGGGTCACCCTGCCTCGGTGGGAGGCGGCCGACTTGTTGAAAAAAAAAAATGTATAAGAAGAAAATTAAAAGTAAATATAGGAAAGAGTAAGGTTTTGAGGATAAAAAGATTAGGTGATGAAAGATTGGATATCAGATTGGAGAGAGAGAGAGTATGGAAAAGGTGAATGTATTCTGATATTTAGGAGTGGATGTGTCAGCAGATGGGTCTATGAAGGATGAGGTGAATCACAGAATTGATGAGGGGAAAAGGATGAGTGGTGCACTTAGGAGTCTGTGGAGACAAAGAACTTTGGCTGTGCAAGCAAACAGGGGAATGTATGAGAGTATAGTTGTACCAACACTCTTGTATGGATGTGAAGCATGGGTGATGAATGATGTAATGAGGAGAAGGGTAGAGGCATTGGAGATGTCATGTCTGAGGGCAATGTGTGGTGTGAATATAATGCAGAGAATTCGTAATTCGGAAATTAGGAGAAGGTGTGGGATTACCAAAACTATTATCTAGAGGGCTGAGGAGGGGTTGTTGAGGTGGTTCGGACATGTAGAGAGAATGGAACAAAACAAAATGACTGAGTGTATAAATCTGTAGTGGAGGGAAGGCAGGGTAGAGGTCATCCTAGGAAGGGTTGGAGGGAGGGGGTGAAGGAAGTTTGGTGTGCGAGGGGCTTGGGCTTCCAGCAAGCATGTATGAGCGTATTTGATAGGAGTGAATGGAGACATGGTTTTTAATACTTGACGTGCTGTTGGAGTTGAGCAAAGTAACATTAATGAAGGGATTCAGGGAAACCGGCAGGCTGGACGTGAGTCCTGGAGATGGGAAGTACAGTTTCTACACTCTGAAGGAGGGGTGTTAATGTTGCTGTTTTATAACTGTAGTGTAAAGCACCCCTCTAGCAAGACAGTGATGGAGTGAATAGTGATGAAAGTTTTTCTTTTTTGGGGCACCCTGCCTTGGTGGGAATCGGCCAATGTGTTAATAAAAAAAAAATGTTAGTGCTATTGGTCTGTAGTTCTTTGCTATTGCTTTACTGCCCCCTTTGTGGAGAGGAGCTATGTCTGTTGTTTTTAGTAACTGTAGGACAACCCCCAGTGTCCATGTTCCCTCTTCATAGGATGTTAAAAGTACGTGATAGGGGCTTCTTGCAGTTCTTGATGAACATGGAGTTCTATGAGTCTGACCCTGGGGCAGTGTGCATGGGCATGTCATTTATCACCTGTTCAAAGTCATTTGGCATCAGGATAACATCAGCTAGGCTTGTGTTTACCTAATTCTGTGACTCTCTCATAAAAAATTCATTTAGATCTTCGACTCTCAGTCTGGTTAGCGGCTTGCTAAAAACTGAGTCATATTGGGACTTGAGTAGCTCACTCATTTCCTTGCTGTCATCTGTGTAGGACCCATCTTGTTTGAGTAGGGGCCCAATGCTGGATGTTGTTCTCGACTTTGATTTAGCATAAGAAAAGAAATACTTTGGGTTTCTTTTGATTTCATTTATGGCTTTTAGTTCTCCCGCGATTCCTGACTCCTATAAGATTCCTTTAGCTTTAGTTCGATGTTTGCTATTTCTCTGACCAGTATCTCCCTACGCATTGCAGATATATTGGCCTCTTTTAGCCGCTCTTATTCTTTTCCTTCGCCTGTAAAGGGAGTGCCTGTCTCTTTCTGTTTTATATCTACTATTCCTTTTTCTTAAAGGAATATGCCTTGAGCATACATCGAGTGCCACAGAGTTAATCTGTTCTAGGCATAAGTTGGGGTCTGTGTTGCTTAGGCTATCTTCCCAGCTTATATCATTTAGGACTTGGTTTACTTGGTCCCACTTTATGTTCTTGTTATTGAAGTTGAATTTGGTGAAGGCTCCCTCTTAACTGATCCCATTTCGTCGGTCTGGGGCTCCGCGCATACATGTCTGAACCTCGAATATGTTGTGATCTGAGTATATTGTTTTTTGATATGGTGACATTTCATATCAGATCATCAGTGTTAGTGAAGATGAGGTCCAGTGTATTCTCCAATCTAGTAAGCTCTATTATTTGTTGGTTTAAGGTGAATTTTATGCAGAGATTTAAAAGCTCGTGTGTGTGTGAGTTCTCATCTGAGCTGCCTCTTGGTGTTATCACTGCAACAACATTATTTGCTATATTCCTCCATTTTAGGTGCCTTAAGTTGAAATCCCCCAGGAGCAAGATGTTGGGGGCAGGAGCTGGAAGATTTTCCAGACAGTGGTCAATTTTCAACAGCTGTTCCTGGAATTGTTGGGACATTGCATCCGGAGGCTTGTAAACTACTACAATGACCAGATTTTGCTTCTCGCTCTTTACTGCTAAAACTTCAACTACATCATTTGAGGCATTTAACAGTTCTGAGCAAATAAGTGACTGCGATATACAGGCCAACCCCCCCCATCTTTTTGCCTGTTCACTCTCTCGCATCTGTATAGGTTGTAACCTTGGATCCATATTTCGTTGTCCAAGTGATCCTTTATGTAGGTCTCTGTGAAAGCCATGAACATTGCATTTGCCTCTTCAAGCAGTCCACGGATAAAAGGTATTTTGTTGTTTGTTGCTGGCTTTAGACCCTGTATATTTGCAAAGAAGAATGTCATCAGATTGGTGGTACTGGGGGGGTATTTTTTTTCCCGGCACTAATATCTGTATCTGTTGGTTTGGAGTGGAAGCCAGCGACTGTGGTTCCACTCCAGGAAGGATGGGATTTGGTGTATGATTTCTGCCATTTCCTGCCTTCTTTTTTTTTCCTTCCTGGCACTAAAAACTCTCTCTTGAGTGGCTGTGGCTTCCCAGGTTTTCCGATGGTCGGAATGTTTTGTATCTTTTTGTCCCCTTTAGATGGTGTGCCTGGCAATATAAGTTATAGCACTATCATGTACATTTTCTAAATTCATGTAACAAAACATTACTTACCTTTTTCTAAGTATTTTTTGCTTGTATGCATACATACATACTTTAAAGTAAACAGTGGTCTACACTTCCCATTGCCTTCCTGTTCCTCTGTAATTATAGTTTTTTCCATTCATTACTACTATTTAATTCACTCAATTATCACACTATCACGTTTTAATATTTTAGAAAAATCTCTATTTATTTCTCTTTGATTTTTTTCATTATTTCAGGAGAATAAAGCTAAAAATGGAGAGAAGCCAAAACTAGTAAAACCTGGCACTAATACGTCAGCACCTATATACCAGTGGCCTAAGCAACGGAAGACATAGCCATTGGCAGTAACCATCTTATCTAATTTTCTTAGTGTTATAAAACCTTATATGAGGTATAATTAAATTATCAAGTAAGTTTTATGAAAGTTTTCATAATAAAAAATGGCAAACCTTTTTGTATTCATTTTTTTTTGTGATTTATTTACTTCGTTCATTTAGCTTTTACACAATTAAAGAAAATTATTCTACTATTGGACTACAGTGTTGACATTCTCTGCTGAAAGCAGTGTATGTCAACAGAAACCTGCATTGTTAAGTCACAGTTGTGACTCGACAGTGCAGACTTGATGTTGGTCCAGGACTGATGGAAATGTCAAGGTTCCTCTCCTAAGTCCCCTCCATGGAGCATCCTTGAAGGCAGGGAGGGGCATTTGATCCAAGGAATGGGACCTGTGCTTCCCTCCCTTGGATCAAACCTGAATACCTCCCATTCCCCCAGGCACTTATGATCCCTACAGGTTTAGCACTTCCTTGATATGAGTCATTTAAAACGGCAACTTTGCGGTGTATTTTTGTATGGTTTTTATGGTTATACTCTCAATTGGTCTTACTTAATAGAATGGAAGATATATTACAGAAATAGAATGATTTTCATTACTTTCAGGACTGAAAGTAGTTTGCAATTGAGCTCAAAGTAGGAGAAATGTTCAATTTTTGCCAATAATGGATTATTGGCAAAAATTGAACACAAATGTCACTCTTCCAACTGACCAGTCTAATATGCATTTAGGAATGCACCGACATTATTTACACAATTGTTACAATAATGCAGTAGTCTGCATAACAGTAAATCTATTTTGTGCAAATAAAAATTCAAAATGGAAAGCGTAATATAAGGCCTGAGGACATAACTAATGAAATATTTTTTTAGTGCCAGGAATGTTGACATTGTTTATTCTGAACCCTATTTTTAAATTGGCATTTTTTTAATTTTGTGTGAAATTTACCAAATTACCAGTTTCTGATCACTTTATTGGGTAGTTGAAATAGGTAAGTAGGCAGTTTCTTGTACTCGGTCAATAGAATAGAAGGAATACTATTGAAGTAGCTATGAGTTTGGTCAACTGGAACAATGGAATTGGCCGAAAGTAGGGCTCTTAAGTGGGCAAAATTGCCGATGCGTAAATATTGCTGAGACTGCTAACTTTGCAAGAGCGTAATCCCACAAGTTTTTCATCAAATTTCGTACTTTTTGTTTCATTACCTTCAGAAAAAGATTCTTCCTTTCCTAGATGTACATGTCCACCGCTCGGCTTCAGGTTTTTCTTTTTCCGCTTATCGCAAGCCTGTGCACAGTGGCATGTACATTCACTAGTTTTCTTACCATATTCCCTCTGTCAAGAAAAGTGTTCTTATTTCTCTCTGTCCCCGTGCCTTTTGCATTTGTGACCCTCAGGTCCTTGAATCAGATATTTCCACTCTTCGTAATTCGTTCTATTGTCTTGGCTACCCTTCTGATTTCATAAACTGCGTTCTCATGTGCTGAACAGACTTTCTTCTCCCAGACCCTTATATTTCCAATCTTTCTAATCTTAATTCTGTTTTTTAGACATCAAACTTTCTTTTTGCCAAACTAACACCCATTGCAGAAATCAAGTTCATACTTCTCCCCCTGCTATAGATGCCCCTGGCATCTACTGTATTTAAGAACATAAGAAAGAAGGAACACTGCAACAGGCCTACTGATCCATGCAGAGCAGGTCCATGACCCCCCCCCCCCCCAGATTAGCCCAATGACCCACCCAGTCTGGTCACCTCCACTCAAGGAAGGAGCACGGCACCAGACCCAGCAACACAAGCTAGTCAGGTCCAACTCACACCCATCCACACCCACTCTTTATCTAACCTATTTTTAAAACTACACAACATTTTAGCGTGAATAGCTGTATTCGAGAGTTTGTTTCACTCATCCACAACTCTATTACCAAACCAGTGCTTTTCTATATCCTTCCTGAATCTGAATTTTTCCAATTTGAAACCATTGCTGCGAGTCCTGTCTTGGCTGGAAATTTTCAGCACGCTATTTACATCCCCTGTATTTATTCCTGTTTTCCATTTATACACCTCGATCATATCCCCCCTAATTCTACGCCTTTTGAGAGAGTGCAGATTCAGGGCCCTCAGTCTATCCTCATAGGGAAGATTTCTGATACATGGGATCATCTTTGTCATCCTCCTCGATACGTTTTCCAGAGCATTTATATCCATTCTGTAATACGGTGACCAGAACTGAGCAGCATAGTCTAAATGAGGCCTAACCAAGGATATATAGAGTTGAAGAACAACCTGAGGAGTTCTATTATTTATACTTCTAGATATGAAGCCAGGAATTCTGTTAGCTTTATTGCAAACACTTGGTTTTAGATTACTACTAACCAGAACTCCTAAATCCTTTTTGCAATCAGTAGTATTAAGATCTACATTATTTAGTTTATATATGGCATGGTTATTTACCTGTCCAACATTTAGAACTTTGCATTTGTCATTGCCATTGAAATTGGCAATTATCTGGTCCGTATTTCTCCGGGGCTCCATCTCTGCCCCTCATTTATTTCCTCAAAGTCTGCCAGAGAGTTAGCACCTTGGACGTTTCTTCTCTCAGAGAAGAACAGTGTAATGTGCCTTTTACACTTCAGGAACCCGAGGCAACACACTTAGCTTGCCGATCATCGGCAGCTGGGCCTGACGACATTCATATTTGTATGTTACAACATTTACATCAGTCAGCCCTTGCAGTCCTCTTATGCCTTTTCAATCTTATTTGGTCACAAGGAGTTCTTCCACAGCTGTGAAAATCTGCCATTGTTCTCCCTTTCCGCAAACCGGGTACTACGGGACATGAAGCCTCCCACTATCGTCCCATCGCTCTTACCAGTGCAGTTTGCAAAGTGATGGAACGTCTGGTAAATAAACGTTTAATGTGGTATTTAGAGACACACAACAGTCTCTCCACTCGTCAATATGGCTTTCGTAAGGGCCGTTCTACCATAAACCCCTTACTACGTTTGGATACGTATGTTCGTAATGCCTTTGCGAATAACCACTTGGTTATTGCCATATTTTTTGACCTTGAGAAGGAGGTATAATATTTTGGCCCAAGCCCACTCCTTAGGCCTCCGAGGCAATCTACCATCTTTCCTTAAGAACTTTTTAACTGACAGACATTTCCGTGTTCGAGTCAGTAATGTGCTCTCCCCGGACTTTATCCAAGCTGAAGGTGTCCCTCAGGGATGTGTTCTGAGCACAACACTTTTTCTCCTTGCTATAAGTGATTTGGCCTCTGTTCTTCCATCCAATATTTGGTCATCACTCTATGTAGATGACTTCGCTATTGCTTGTGCAAGCTCTGACTGTCACCTCATTACAGTTTCTCTCCAACATGCGGTCGACCATGTTTCTAATTGGGCCACCACGCATGGGTTTAAATTTTCCAGTACCAAAACTCGCCAAATTACTTTCACTAGACGCTCTGTCATCTCCGATCATCCTTTGTACCTCTATGGCTCCCGTATCCCTGAACGTGATACAGTCAGGTTTCTAGGCCTTCTCTTTGACCGTAGGTTATCCTGGAAACCCCACATTGCCTCTCTAAAGGCAACTTGTCACAGCCGGCTAAACCTTCTTAAGACCCTTGCTCATCTCTCATGGGGAGCTGATCGTCGAACTCTCCTTCACCTACATTCAGCCCTCATTTTATCGAAACTCGATTATGGTGACCAGATCTATTCAGCGGACTCTCCTGCTACTGTCTCTAGCCTTAACCCCATCCATCACCAAGGATTACGTTTGTGCCTTGGTGCTTTTCGCTCTTCCCCTGTTGAGAGCCTCTATGCAGAAGCAAATGTTCCATCCTTGTCTGATCGCCGTGATGCCCATTGCCTTCGCTACTATGTGCGCTCTCACGATCTCCGCAATCCTTCCATTTATAGAATGGTCACTGATATAAGTAGACATTCTTTATTTGTTCGCCGCCCCTGTTTGCTCCGTCCCTTCTCTCTTCGCCTACATTCGCTCTTGTCTTCCCTTCAGTTACCGCCTTTATATGTTCATGTAGCATCTCACTTTTCCCTACCCCCTGGGAAGTTCCAGCTGTTCAGGTCTGTTCTTTCTCACTCCCTTGTTCGAAAGCCCAACTGCCTACGGTGGCTTCCCGCTCTCTTTTTCTTGACCACTTCCACTCTCATTTTCATGCCATCACAGTGTACACAGATGGCTTTAAATCTTCTCATGGCGTTGGATTCGCAGCAGCATTTCCGGACAGCATTGTGCGAGGACATTTCCTATCTTCGGCTAGCATTTTTACTGCTGAATTGTATGCCATTCTTGCAGCACTTATTCGTATCGCATCTATTATGCCTGTGTCATCATTTGTGGTTGTCTCAGACTCCCTCAGTGCTCTACAGGTTATATGGAAATTTGATACACCTCACCCCCTAGTTCTCCGTATCCAACTTTGGCTATGCCGTATCTCTACCAAGCATGAAGATATTGTTTTTTGTCGGGTCCCTGGTCATGTTGACGTACAGGGCAATGAACAGGCAGACACTGCTGTGCGGTCAGCAGTACTTGACCTACCAATTTCATATAGAGGTGTTCCATTTCTGGACTATTTTGCTGTAATAGCTACCCACCTTTGCACCCGTTGGCAACAACGTTGGTCTGCTCTGCTCAATAACAAACTTTGTTCTATTAAACCGAGTACAGTGGAACCTCAAAAATCGAACATATCAAATATCGAACGTTTCGAAAATAAGACCATTTTTTCGGACAAACTGTGTCCCAATTATCGAACGCGCCTCTAATTTCGGACCGCCAGGTACGGGACCTGTCCGCTGGCCCGCTCTGTCCGTGTCCCCGTGCAGGCGCTGTGAGCAGTCTAGCTTTGTTTATGCTTGAGTGAACACTAACCTGCGCTCTCATTCACACATTTTACATTATTT